ACTGACCGGCAGTGGCTGAATCAAGACGCCTGGGGCAGAGAAGCTGGGGTGCTGCTGGGTTGGTCCAGTAGCGCCCAGAGCGGTGCTACAGGACCAACCGGCAGCACCCCAGCTGCTGTACCACAGGCGTCCGGAACAAAGCCGCGGGGCACGGGGGCAGGGGGACAGCCCAGACGTGCCGTGGCTGTCCTGCTGCCCTCGGGCTCCGCGGCTTTGCTTCCTCTCCCTGGTGTGCTGGAGATCAGGGAGACGGCCCCGTTCGTAACTGCGGATCCGACATAAGTCGGATCCGCGTAACTCGGGGACTGCCTGTAAAGTAAATGAATGTCAGTGAAGAATAAGTTGCATCCCAATGTCTTCCATGCATTGGAAATCTCTTTGCTGTGGCTTGAAAGACAAAAAGGAGGCAATGCAGTGTATCATAGTGTACTTATGCATCATATCTACTGCAGCTTTTAGTTTTATGAATTTTTCAATTTTATGAACGCCTCAGTCCCTAATTAGTTTGTAAATAGGGGTTGTACTGTAATTGAAATGGATGTCTATGAAATCCCAGTGCGAAGATGACATCACCCAGAATAAAAGGAATATAGGGTGAGGACTAGCAAGCCAAGAACAGAACCTTGGGGCAGTGTTCTTTGTGTAGGCTACGTAGCCATGCTGCTCATGTCTCCTCTGTGAAGTGTCAGTAAGGATGTGGTGTGGCCTCTGCTCATTTTCCCCCCAGTTTAGTGGCAGGGTGCGTGCATTCTTTCCTGCAGGGGGAGTGCAAACCCTTCCAGTCTTAAGGTCTCCAACCTTTTTACACCCAAGATCAGTTTTTAAATGTCAGAACAAGCCAAGATCTACCCCACCCCTTCCTTGAGGCCCCACCCTCTCTGCTCCCCTCCTCTCCATCACTTGCTGTCCCCAGCCCTTACTCACACTCACAGAGAGTAGGTGTGGGATTTGGGTGTGGGAAGGGGTGAGCGATGCAATCTCTGGGGGTGGGGGAAATCTGGGTGCAGGAGAAAGAGAAGGGGATGCTGGTTCATGGAGGGGGCTTCAGGCTGGAGAGTGTTGGGGTCAGGTGGAGGGTTGGGGTGCTGAGCAAGTCACAGGCTTGTGGTTGTGGGGGTGCAGGAGTGTATGAGGGGTTCAGGGCAGGGGGGTTGGGAGTATGAAGGGCTCAGGACACAGATTTGCAGTGTGTGAATGATGTAGGAGAGTTGTGACAGAAGACTGGGGATGAGAGGTGCAGGAATGTGAGGGACTTAGGACAGGGGGAATCAGGTGTGTGATGGGTTTTGGGTTGGAGCCTGTGGGAGTGCAGGAGTGTTACCATCAGGGTTCGACAATTAGGGCAGTCTATTCGCCTGTGGTGAGTAGATTTTAGCCCGGCATGGTGCCGCAGCGCGATCAGCACATGTGCAGCGTGACAAACTGCACGGCTGGCAAGCGGGGCTCACCTCTGCTTGTCAAACCCTGGTTATGATGCTGCAGCCAGATGGGAGCTTGGCCCCAATTGGGGGCGAGTTGGCCAGGCTTCATTTTTAAATAAAATATTATGTCCAACACTAAATGTTTCACAATTGTCTTTATTTATGGGAGGGGTGGGGAACCTGTTTTGGGTCAGGGGTAACTGACCCATAGAAAAATCAGTGGGGGACCACACAAGTGAGAAACAAAAAAATAAAATAAAAAACACCCTCCAAATCTTTCCAAGCCTCACTGATGTGGGCCCAACTGAGACATCTCACTCCCCTGGTGCTCCAGCCCCACGAGAGGAGGAGGAGGGTATGTAGGACTGAGGTTCAATGCCTAAGGCCAGATTAACTCTTCTGGGGTTCAACAGTTAGTGGAATTTGGCCTCTCAACACTCTGAGGTGGGGCCAAAAATGAGGGATCCAGTGTGCGGGGCAAGGCTGCCAGTAAGTGGGATAGGATGGGGGTGCAGAATCTGTGTAGAAAATAGGGTACAGGAGTAAATTGGGGGTAGGTGTCTGACCAGGAGGGAGGGGGCAGGAGCAGGGTGCTGGTGCGTATCTGTCCACGAGGCAGGGACAGGGTGCTGGATGGGGTCTCGCCAGGGAGCAGGGTGCTGATGGGGGCTTGGGCAGGGTGTAGGTGGGAGTCTGGCCAGGAGCAGGGTGCTAATCGGGACCAGGGCAAGGTGCTGGTGGGGGCCTGGGGAGATGACAGGTTGCTGATGGAAGCCTGGACAGGGGGCAGGGTACTCGTAGAGGTCTGGGTGAGGTGCTGTTGTGGGTCTGGCCTGCGGAGAGGATAGGGACAGCTTGGCCAATATCTGGGGGGTCCCGCGGCTGCATGCCAGGTCTGGCATTTCAGCAGGCATGCACACTGTTCCTCCACTCCTCAAACAGCTGGTGCACTTCCTGAGAAGTTGGATCTGGTTCACAGCTGGTGACTTCCTTCCCTGTGCTTCCTGCCTGCCTTCCTGCGTGTGTGTGGGGGGAGGGGGAGGTAGGTAATAGGAGTCCCAGGACTGTGCCCCAGGTCCAGCATTTCAGCAAGCACGCGCACTGCTCCTCCCCTCCGCACGACAACCGGCGCACTTCCTTGAAGTTGAAGCTGGCATGCAGTCCTGGGACTCCTACTCCTACCCCTCCCCTCCTGTGCAGGAAGGAAGGAAGGCAGGAAACATGGGGAAGGAAGTCCCTGGCTGCACACCAGACCTGGCTTTTCAGGAAGCATGCCAGCTGTTTGGGGAGGGGAGGAGCAGCCCACGTGCTTCCTGATACCTGGATCTGGCGCACAGCTGCGGGTCTTCCCTCCCCATGCTGCAGGAAGTCGGCACTACTTCCATTTTCCCAAGAGGTAGTGTCAGCGCTGCCTACTCCTTGGGGGGTGGGAAGAATGGGCGCACCTGGAACACCTTGTGATCAACTGATCGTACCCCCACAGTCGATCACGATCAACGGGTTGGTGACCACGTGTTAGGGGCACACTCCAGGACTCCCATTGAGGATGCTCTCAGGGGAGAGGCTTGGCCAGGCTCTGCGGTGCCAGCACAGCTCAGTGGAAATTCTGGAGCTGTAGCCTGATGTGGCCAAAGCACTGACACATACACATACCTTGTGTGCCTGCCTGGCAGTTGGTTTCCAGGAATGCAGTCCTTGCCGTGAGGCAAGAGAGGAGGGAGCTGCAGACTTGGCTCTGTAGTGTGAGTGCCTCTAGGGAATGGAGGCAGAGAGACTGGGGGAGGGTGGGTTCTGAAACCCCCAACTCAGGGGAGTGCATTTGACACCACCACCTCCTGCCCACCCCACACATCTGGCCAGGCTCCTAAAGCTGTTTCAGAGGAAATCCTAGGAATAGGGATTACTAATGTGTGCTGTTGGGAAGGAGCCACCGGGGAGCAGCCCCCTCTGCACACCCTTTACTCCCCCTGCACATGCTTTCTCTCATTCACCCACACCCCTACTCCCCACTCACTTTAACCAGGGCCAAAAACATAATGCTCAGTGGAGTTGGCAGCTTGTTCCGTTTTTTTTTTTTTTTTTTTTTTTTAAGTAGAAGGAACATTGCTTTTGGAAGCCCCACAGAAAATGGGAAATAAGAGAAGGACCCTTAAAGAGATTTTCCTCCTGCTTCTCTGGATCTTTCTTAGTGTATGAGGAGAGATCAGAGATGCAGACACTAAAGGCATTAATGGCTTATTCCTAAAGCATGCGATAAACTTTTTACCTTTTTAATATTAGTAAAATTAGCTGAATTATTAATACTCTAGTTAGTCACAAAAATGTCTGATTCTTTTCTAAATCTGTCTGTGCTTTTTACCTCAATAGTTTATAGCAGTGAATTCTACAGGTGGTTGAAGCATTTTGTGTTTCTGGGATTATACGGGGAGAATTTCCTTTTATCTGTTTCAAATGTATCTCATCCTTCATCTATGTCCTCCTTAATACTCAGTTTGCCCTCATCTGATGCATACAGTGTCATGTCACTTCTTATAATTTTATATGTAAACACACTAGGCTTAATCTTTTCATTCTATACTCAAATGGAAATCTTTCCAGGCTTGTGACTATTTTCGTTACTATTCTCTGAAGCTCTTCTATTTCTTCTATATCCTTTTTCTGTAGAGTCTGTCAGGTTACTTGACCCCTGTAGGAACTGAGATCTCCGCGCTAACAGAAATGCGTCGTGTGAGTAATTGGAAAATCCCAAAGAATTCAAATTTGTTTGTGTAGTCAATTGTAACTTTGAGTTCTTGATGTTTGCATCTTTCCCCATTTCTTCAGCACTAGTGCCCTCTAATATCTAACAGTGTTGTTACAATGTGAGCCTATCACTTCTTGCTGTTTGCCCAGCAGTATGAGCTCCTTCAGCAATCTGAAAGCCATTATTTTTTCAAGCATTTATTTTGATAGGAAGCTCAATATTGGCATAATAATTTACTATGCTTGTAACTTATATTAAATTGCCAATAAGTATATCCTGGTGCAAAAACCTTAACCGTTCTTTAATTCATTGTTTCATGTTTGTGATTTGCTATGTTTTTAGTTAAAGGTAGCATAAAAATAGGTACCTATCTGTGCGTGCAGTATACTAGCTTTTTGTTCATGTTGATTAGTGGCTTGTTTGTGTGTAAGAGACTAACATGGCAGCTCGCATCTTTAACTATTTTGGCAAGCAAGTTGGAAGGTATCTTCTGTTTCTGGTGATTCACAATGAATAGTGCAAGTGTATGGGGGAGCCCATTTTTCTCATCACAGTAATTAACATAGTAAGAAATCTTTTGCAATGTATTGTATAAAATATAGTTATATACTTGTAAATCGGGGATTCTCAAATTGGATCGTGATCCCGTTTTAATGGGGTCACCAAGGGTGGCTTGGACTTGATGGGGCCCAGGGCTGAAGCCAAAGCCCAAGCCCTGTTGCCCAGGGTTGAAGCTGAAATATTTAGATTTCAGCACTGGATGCAAGGGCTCAGGTTGCAGACCCCCTGGCTAGGGGTAACGGCCTTGAACTTGTGCTGTGTCCCTTGCATCCTACTCTGGGGCAGTGGAGCTCAAGCTTTGGTTCCCTCCTACCTGGAGCAGCAGAGCTTGGATGATCTCAGGCTTCCCTTCCTCCTCTTGGGGTTATGGAGTAATTTTTTTGTCAGCAGGGGGATGCGGTATAGTGAAGTTTCTCTCTCAAATACTGTCCCTTTTTCAGAGAAATAGACATGCTGTTTTTAATCTTGAGGTCTTTCCTCAGTGACTTTAATGAGCATTTTCCTGCGTAAGAAGTGAGAGAGAACCTTTGAATCAGTCCCTTTTAACTTCCAGTATATTCTGTGTTTGATGATGAATTTCTGTCACTATACTAAATTACAGCTTTGAAGGAAATGGATGAATGCAGGAATCAGAATGTTGTGTACTAAGAACAGTAAACTGACCGAGGACTCGTGGCCACGTTGAAATCAATACCAGAACTCCTATTGACTTCAGTGTGGCCATGATTTCATCCCAGAGTTTTTGCTCAAGGCTTGACCTTGGGCAGGTCCCTTAACTTCTCTGTGCTTCAGGCAACTCATCTGTTAAAATGGATAAATTTTACACTCTTACACCACAAAGCATTGTGAAACTTGCTCATTTGCTGTACAAAATACTTTGTGCTCTCTGAGGGAAGGTGCTAGGGAAGAGCAAAGTGAGGGGTGGATTCTGTGTCTTCAGTCTTTGCTGAGAATGTGTTTCTGTTTCTAATTTGGCTTGCTTGATAGTGGAATATTTTGTTTTCTTACAGGATAGTTCAAGTTCTGTTGGATCAGGAGAATTTACAGGTGTGAAAGAACTTGATGATATTAGTCAAGAAATTGCACTGCTGCAGAGGTAAATCTAGTGGACTGTTCTGAATCTGGGAAAAGGAGGATTTTCCTTACTTATGATGTCCTTAAATTGCATAAGCATTTGTAATATCTGTGCTTTCCCAAAAAGACGAAACCTTTCTTAGTTTAGTATCAGAGGGGTAGCCGTGTTAGTCTGAATCTGCAAAAGTGGCGAGGAGTCCTGTGACATACATCTGACGAAGTGGGTCTTTGCCCACGAAAGCTTATGCTCCTACACTTCAGTTAGTCTATAAGGTGCCACAGGACTCCTTGCCGCTTTCTTAGTTTAGTTCATTGGGGAGTGATGCATTTATCAGTTCCATAGATTTTTGGGTTTTTTAAGTGTGTGTGGTTAAATCAAAAATAGGGCCCCATCACCTTTTATATAGCTGAACCCAATTGTTCACTATATTTTTTTATTTATAGCCATAGTAATTCATTGTGAAATGTCACTGCAAGGTAAGTCGAGCACATTTTGCATAAACTAAAATCTTCCTTTTCATTAAAATGGGACAGTTGAATGCCTGATTAGTAGAAGAGTTTCAATATTACTTCCTGTTTGTTACTGGTAATTATTACTTCTATCCGTCCTACATTGTCTTTTGAATGCTACAAGTCAAGAGCCTTATCTGTGTATCATTGAAGTTAATGGTTACTCCCACTAATTGCACTGAGCAGTTCCTAGAAGGTTCACTTGTAATCTAGAACAAGAAGCAATGGGCTTAAATTGAAGCAAGGTAGATTTAGGTTGGACATTAGGAAAAACTTCCTAACTGTCAGGGTGGTTAAACAATGGAATACATTGTCTAGGGGGATTGTGGAATCTCCATCACTGGAGATATTTAAGAGCTGGTTGGATAGACGTCTATTAGAGATGATCTAGATGGTGCTGGTCTAGTCTTGCTGTGAGGGCAGGAGACTAGTCTCGATGACCTCTCAAGGTCTCTTCCAGTTCTATGATTCTAGAGCATGAAATGAAAAGTGTGGTTGGTGGGATAGATTTGTCTCTCAAAGTGCAAGAGCATATTTCTTAATTACTTGTTAAAAGAATGACATAAATGTGGGATTACTTTTTCATCTGTGCATTGTTTACTAAGGAACATTTAATTGGTTTTTATAAAATATTTTCTTACTTCAGTTGTTTTCCCTGCAGAGAAAAATATTCATTAGAGCAGGACATTAGAGAAAAGGAGGAATCAATTAGACAGAAAACCAATGAAGTTCAGGTAAAAACTCTGGATTATTACTAATGACATTTTTTTGAAATTCTACAGAATGCACCGTCCATGTTTTAAACAGGTTTTGATTTTCTTTCACATTACTACTTTTATGAATTCATCTGGGTATATTTATTCTGGCATGGAGTGAATATCCTGTAGCAATGATTTAATTTTTGTGCTCTGTTGAAAACTTGTTTTGAGGCTGGTTAGTGTAAAATTCAAATAGTTTAGAATACTAGAGGATTTAATACTATTCGGGTCCTTGTAGGGGCTCAGGCAGAAGGTGGGGGGAAGGCGTGTGGGCAGGGCGTTTGGAAGGTATGCGGAGGGTCAGGGGTTGAGGATGCCAGAGTCAGAGTAGCCAGGGCAGGCAGGTTGCAGGAGTCAGGGCTGGTTGCAGATGTGAGAGCAGGGAGGTTGGGAGGAGTGGGGGGCTCAGGGATGCCCCGAGTCCAGCCAGGGCTGACCTACCCAGCCAGCAGCTGCTCCCCGGGCGGAGGGCGGGGCAGCGTCTGAGCTGCCTGACCCAGCTGGCAGCTGCTCCCCAGGGGTTGCTCAGCAGCTTCCTGAGGCCAGCCGGGGTGGCATGAGCACGGCTGCGTAGGGGCTGCCAATAGCAATGGGGGTTGCTCTGCAGCAGCAGGTGCCTTGTTACCTGGCTGGTGCCAGCTCCCCAGGGTCTCACAGCCGTGGGAGCTGAACTAGGCCAGGGCCAGAAGGGTGGCAGGGGCTGCATTGCCCACCCAGCACCCTCCTACCCTGTGTCCGGCACAGGGCCAAGGGCTGGGAGGAGTGGATTGTGCTGCAGTTGTGGAGTATGGGGACCAGCATGGGAAGGGGGGAGCAACAATGCCTGTCACTAGAACAGGGACCTTACCTGTGAAAGGTGACCACTGTCGTACAGGAATGGCCGCCACCCTTGTCGCTATTCTGCAGTAAAACTATGCATGCTAGCAGACCCCTTCTTTAGCTTTTTCTGAGAAACAATTTTATATCCAGGTGCATCCTGTTTTCTTGGCACAACCAAACCCTGAGTTAATAAAAGGAAGCTGCATAGCAAATTTGGTTGTCCTACGTTTTACCATTTAGGAAGAGTTCTTGAACAAACAGACTCCCAGACAGACAGATGCACAAACTGTTTCAAATATATAATGAATAATATACAATATTTTTAAGGTTAACCACTTGTTACAGTACATCAGTTAAGTATAGTCTATAACATGGAACTTTTTTCAGGAACTGCAAAATGACTTAGACAGAGAAACAAGTAACTTGCAAGAGCTGGAAGCTCAGAAACAAGATGCTCAAGATCGCTTAGATGAAATGGACCAGCAGAAAGCCAAACTGAAAGATATGCTAAATGATGTGAGACAGAAATGCCAGGAGGAAACACAGATGGTGAGTTACAGATGATCAAAATTACTCAAGATAGTTATACCCAAAGATGACTGCAGGGAATGACAAAGGGATCTCACTGGGTGACTGGGCAAGAAAATGGTAGAGGAAAGTCAACTTTCATAAATGCAACAAAATGTACACTGTAGAGTTGGGATTATGTTTTTCATTCCAAATTATGGGCTCTAAATTAGCTCTTATCACTCAAGAAAGAAAATATCCACTCAATGCGCAGCAACAGACTAAGAAGATAATGTAATGTTGGGAGCCATTAGACAGGGGAAGGGCAGCTGACAGAATTGCTGGGTCCCTGGGCAAGGCGGGGCTGGGGCCAGTTCCATGCTTCCGGAAAGGATGGGAGGCCTGGGGCAGAACAGGTAGGGCTAGAGGCTAGCCTCTCCCACCAGCCCTTCAATGCTGCCTGGGGTTCTACCAGCGATTTAAAGAGCCTGAAGCAACTGCCCCCTTTGCTGCTCCACCTGGTTGGTAAGCCTGGGCAGGGAATAGACAAAAAGACAGAAAATATCAGTCTCTCTATGTATATGTAAAAATCCTTTTCCTGCGGAATGATTGGGTGACTTCATATGACATTCTACATCCCCAGGAGCCCTGACTACATGACTGCTCTGTGAAATGCGGGGGAGGGACAGTGGTGGCAGCTCCAGCCCCGTGTGTCCCCTGGAGCAGTGTCCACCTGCATCTGGGCCCCGCCTCCCGCCTGCCTGGCCCATGTGC